AAACAGAACCCCTATGACCAACATAAAATACTGTGTTTTCTGATGGTCTTTGGTGACCCCTCTGACACCCCCGGTGACCCCTCCAGGGGTCCCGACCCCCAGGTTGAGAAACACTGGATTAGATGGAAGTGTAAACTCATACAGTACACTTAAACCACATGATTCGGCATTGTAGACTCACATGGTGGAAATGTTTGAGCCGACTCTCAAATGGAAGCTTTCAAGAGGGTCGCGGTCTCTATATTTCTATCTCTACGGGCGGAGAGGCCTCGTTGCGCAACGAGGGGATGACGTCACGGGGGCCCCTCCCACCCTCTCGGTCGGGTCTTCCCACACAACAAACCCGGGAGTCCCGCCTTGATGTTTTAAGTGACGCCCCAGGGAGCCAATGCGCCTCTGGGTGAGGAGGGAGACCCCGCCCCTGGGGGCGTGAGTGGCGCCTAGCGGAGCCAATGGCGTCGGGCCGGGGCCGGGCCTGTCAGTTCGGGGCGGCGGGATGGCGGCGCTGTACGCCTGTACCAAGTGCCACCAGCGCTGCTCCTTCGAGGCGCTCAGCCAGGGACAGCAGCTCTGCAAGGTCTGGGTCTCGGGATGGGAGGGAGGGAGGACAAGGGGCGAGAGGCGTGCGGGGGCCGGCGACTGCGAGGACCCCCTCGGCCTTCAGGGTGTTTTGGACTACAGCTCCCAGAATCCCTCCGCATCGCCAGCGGCGGCAGGGGCTTCTGGGAAATGAAGTCCCAAACACTTGGGAGGGCTGCCACTGCGAAGGCTGCTTCCCCTTTCTGGCCTGCTTGGCTGTCAGGTGCCTTTTGAGTGGCTTTTATTGACTTTTTATTTTTAATCATTTTTATTTTATATTTAATCATTTCAATAATCATTTTAATCATAAGATTATTGTATCTGAATATGTATGCCTTTTCATATATGGATTTGTATTTTAATAATAATAATAATGTAATATTAATAATAACTTATAATAATAATAATTTAATATTAATAAGAAATATAGTAATAATATTTTAATAATACATAAAATAATTAACGTAATAATTATTATTTTAATAATAATATTTAATATTAATAATAACATTAATAAAGATTTAATATTAATGTAATATTATTAATATTGCAATGTCCAATCTCGATAAAATAGTAAAGAGTAGAGACATCACACTGGCAACAAAGATCCGCCTAGTCAAAGCCATGGTATTCCTTGTAGTAACCTACGGATGTGAGAGCTGGACCTTAGGGAAGACTGAGCGAAGGGAGATAGATGCTTTTGAGCTGTGGTGTTGGAGGAAAGTTCTGAGAGTGCCTTGGACTGCGAGAAGATCTAACCAGTCCATCCTCCAGGAAATAAAGCCCGGCTGCTCACTGGAGGGAACGATACTAGAGACAAAGTTGAAGTACTTTGGCCACATCATGAGGAGACAGCAAAGCCTAGAGAAGACAATTATGCTGGGGAAAGTGGAAGGTAAAAGGAAGAGGGGCCGACCAAGGGCAAGATGGATGGATGGCATCCTTGAAGTGACTGGACTGACCTTGAAGGAGCTGGGGGTGGTGACGGCCGACAGGGAGCTCTGCGTGAGCTGGTCCATGAGGTCACGAAGAGTCGGAGACGACTGAACGAATGAACAACAACATTTATATAATAATAATAATAATAATAATCTTTATTTATTCCCCGTCACCATCTCCCCAAAGGGGACTCGGGGCAGCTAACATGAGGCCAAGCCCAAAATTACAGTACAGCAAAATAAAATACAAAGAAGCAAAAATACCATCAAAATAAAAAAATGAAATAATAAAATAAAATAAACAGTTGCAGAATAACATAATAGAGAAATAGAACACAGTAATGGGCTAAATGTGCTAGGAATAAAATTGATAAAAATTGATAAAAGCCTGGATGAGATAAGTAAAATTGTTTCTGAGGGAGGAGCTCAAAAGGGATGAACAGTGGGGTTAGACCTTCATTAAGGGCGGGTGGAAGGTGCAACATGAGGGCGGAACTGTAGTTGGAACAGACAACATATGGAATATATGTTCACTCGCCAAAGGCACATCGGAAGAGCCAGATTTTTAGGTCTTTCTTAAAGGCTTTCAGGGTAGGGGCTTGCCTAATCTCACTAGGTATCGAGTTCCAGAGCCAAGGGGCCACAACAGAGAAGGCGCTCTCCCTCGTCCCCACAAGTCGTACTTGTGATGAAGGTGGGAGTGAGAGGAGGGCCTCCCCAGAGGATCGAAGAGCTTGTGCAGGTTTATGGAGGGAGATGCGGTCACTAAGGTAGGCGGGTCCCGAACCATTCAGGGCTTTGTAGGTGATAACCTGCACCTTGCATTGGGACCGTAAGATGAACGGCAACCAATGGAGCTCCTTAACCAGAGGGGTAGACCGCTCCCTCTAATTTGCTCCAGTTTGCAGTCTGACTGTCGATCGTTGGACCAATTGAAGTTTCAGGGCTGTCTTCAAGGGTAGTCCCACATAGAGTGCATTGCAATATTCCAGTCTAGAAGTAACTAAGGCATGGACCACCGTGGTCAGATCAGACTTCACGAGGTACGGTCGCAGCTGGCACACAAGTTCTATTTGTGCGAAGGCCCTCCCAACCACCACTGACACCTGATCATCAAGTGTCAGCGCTCAATCTAGGAGGACACACAAACTGCGGACCTGTATCTTCAGGGAGAGGGCAACTCCATCAAGCACAGGTTGCCACCCTGTACCCCAGTCAGACATGCAACTGACCTGGAGGACCTCTGTCTGTAGGGGTAAATCTTCAGCTTGTTCACCCTTATCCAGATCATCACAGCAACCAGGCACTGGTCCAGTATCCAAGGGACTTCCTTGGATTCTGATGGAAAAGAGTAGTAGAGTTGGGTGTCATCTGCGTAGAGGTGGCACCAAACTCCAAAACTCTGGATGACCTCTCCCAGCGATTGCATGTAGATGTTGAAGAGCATGGGGGACAGAATGGAGCCTTGCAGGACCCCACAGGTCAATGGCCAGGGGTCTGAGCAGGTGTTCCCCAGCTTCACCAACTGGGAACGACCCTCCAGGAAGGACCGGAGCCACAGGAGAACTGTTCCTCCAAGTATTTTAATATTAACAAAAACATAATAGTAATTTAATATAAATAATAAATACAAAAATTTAAATAAATAAATAAATAATGTAATAATAAGAATTTAAATTATAATATTTTAATATTTATAATAACTGTTAATAATTTAATATTAATAATAAATATAATATTTTAATAAATAAATTAAATAATTAATTTAATAATTTTAATAATGATGATGATTTTACTGAATGTTTTATGATGATGTGTTATATCTATGCTGTGCCCCATCTCGAGCCAGGAGGAGAGGCAATATTATTGTATTTTAATATGTGTATTCCATAGAAATACCTTTCCATATATGTAATCATGCATATTACAGGTAGGTTTCAGATGGTGGTGCTTGGTAAGAGCTTCTCCTCCAAAAAGGATATGTTACGTGGTATCCGACAAGTTGCCATTCTGTCCCCAATGCTCTTTAATATTTACATGAAGCCACTGGGAGAGATCATCTGTAGGAATGGGGTGCAGTGTCACTGGTATGCTCACGCAGGAAAAGTACAATCAAAGCACCTCTGACAGATGGCCATCCAACCTCTGTTTGAAACAGTGGTTCCCAACCTGTGTGCTATGGCCTACTGGTGGACTGCAAGACCTAAAATATGGTCCGCAGCTTTACATTATTAAATATGGTTTTCTGTGGGTGAGCAGATGGCAACTACTGGATGGCATATGTTCTGTATCAGAAACTAGAGCTGATGTGGTCTATCCAATGCAATTTTCTGAATCAGCACCCCAAATAACCAAACCAAATTTTTATTGTTTATTCGTTCATTCGTTTCAGACTCTTTGTGACCTCATGGACCAGCTACGCCAGAGCTCCCTGTCAGCTGTCATCACCCCCAGCTCCTTCAATCTAAAGTTGACCAAAAACTGATTTGTAATCCTCTTGGTACTAATGTTGGAGAGTGGTCCCTGCCAAAGTGGTCCCTGGTCAAAGTGGTCAAAGTGGTTGGGAACCACTAGTTTAAAAGCCTCCAAGGAAAAAGCTTCTACCAGTCTTTGAGGCAGAGCGCCCCACTTTGAACAGCTCTTTCAGTCATTAAATTTTTCCTTAATGTTCAATTAGAATATCCTTGTACTGTAATCTTTTTTCTCACCTCTTTTTTCATAGAGCAACAAGCTGCTTAGACCACAGAAGTACTATAAATGTAGCATGTCTTGATTTTCCTGAGGGTTTTTTTTTTTACAACAAATGTTCTTGCAGGCAAGCCTGCAGGCCAAATGCAGCCCTCTGTGGCATTCTATCTGCTGGACTACAGCTCCTATATTCCTCTCATTAGACATCATGACGAAAGTTGATGAGAGTTGGGATAGTCACATCTGGAAGCCTGTGGTTTGTTTTGTTTAATCAAGATAATGGAGTTTGAGTTTAAATCCAAGGCTTGTGGATAGGAGGCCTGACTTTAAAATGTTCAGAGCCACAAGTGCTTTAGGATTGCCATCCCCACAATCCCCAGATAATCAAAAGCAATGGGAGTTGTTATTCAGTAACATCTGGGGACCCAAATTGGATAAAAAACAAAAGTGCAACAACCATTGTGTAAAAAAGATATAGTTATTATTGTTGTTATTATTATTATGTTTATTTATATCCCGCTTTTTCTCTCCATACTGAGACTCAGTGGCTCACAACTAAAAGCATTTCAGTACAACTTAAAATATACAATATTAAATAGTATTAAACATCATTAAAAGCATATAAAATCACATTAGCCCCTGACGTTCTTAAAAACCTTCCTCTTTAAAAGTTGGCCACTGATTCTTCGTGCATGGATTCAAAGGCCCTTTGAAGGCAACCATAAAGCTGATAGATAGATAAATAGATATGTTGAACATATAAACAGTAAAAGGCAAGTATACAAAGGGCCCTTCCACACCCAGAATATCAAGGCAGAAAATCCTACAATATCTGCTTTGAACTGGGTTGTCTGAGCCCACACTGCCATACATTCCAGTTCAAAGCGGATAATGTGAAGTTGTATTCAGCTGTTTAGAAGGAGCCAATGTCACAATAAACGCAAATCACTATCCTAACACTCCTGTAATAATTAGCTAAAATACATTTACGCACTTAAAACTTGATTCAAAAATAAATTTGGTAAAATCAGATTAGATTAAATTACAAAATGATTTTAAATAACTTCATCGCCATAAGGTTGATGTCGATGTGGCATTTAATGAGTTTGACATCCCTGGCAGTGCTGTCATTGGATGGATTTGTAATCTATATAAATAAAAATGTAATGTTCGTTTGTGGGATTAACAAAACTCAAAAACCACTGGGGGAATTGACCCCAAATTTGGACACAAGACACCTAACAACCCAATGTATGTCCTTCACTAAAAAAATGATTTTGTCATTTGGAAGTTGTAGTTGCTGGGATTTATAGTTCACCTACAATCAAAGAACATTCTGAACCCCACCAACGATGGAATTGAACCAAACTTGGCACACAGTTCTCCCGTGACCAGCAAAAAATACTGGAAGGGTTTGGTGTGCAGTGTCCTTTGGTTTTGGAGTTGTAGTTCACCTCCAGAGATCACTGTGGACTCAAACAATGATGGATCCGGACCAAATTCTACAAGAATATTCAATATTCCCAAATGTGAACACTGGTGGAGTTTGGGAGAAAAAGAATCTTGACATTTGGGAGTTGTAGTTGCTGGGATTTATAGTTCACCTACAATCACAGAACATTCTGAACCCCACCAACAATAGAAATGGGCCAAACCTCCCACATAGAAACCCCATGTGGGCCACAGCAATGCATGGCAGGGGACAGCTAGTTAGCTTATAGCGCTTCTCAAGTTCTGTCCTCTTCCCAGGTTGTTCAATGTCTTTATAGAAGAATGGGTTGTTGTGAGTTTTCTGGGCTGAATGGCCATGTTTCATAAGCATTCTCTCCCAGAGATAATGCTTCTGGAACATGGCCATACAGCCCGGAAAACTCACAGCAACCCAGTAATTCAAGCCATGAAAGCCTTCAACAATTTATAGAAGAATGTGTATGCTAAGGACAGGAATAGGATTTTAAATGATCTTGACAGAGTGGAGAGCTGAGCCCAATCTAACAAAACAAATTGCAACAGGGAGAAATGCATGGTCAACAGGAAAAATCAACAATTGCAGGCTGGGCAATGAGGGGGTTGTGTACATGTGAAAGGATCAAGCTAAACATGCATCAACCGTGTGATTCAGAGGCCAAATACAAGTGCAGCTCTAGGCTGCATCAGTAGAAGTATACTGTAGTAAAGTAATAATGTTCTGCTTCTGTGAAACCTCACCTGTAATACTGTGTCCATTTCTGAGCACCAGAGTTCAGAAAAGATTTTTGACATGTACCAATATCCAGAGAAGGTCAGTCAAGATAACTGATTTTACCTATGTGAGTGATTACAGTGAACAACAGCCAAATGGGACTGTGAATTTTATTATGACTTCTATAAATATAAAATTAGCTTACCAATATCTCCTTCTTTAGGGTGCATATTGTTGCTCTAAAAAAACCTGTAGCCCAGATATATTTATAACTTTTCTTTCTTTCTTTCAGGAGTGCCGGATTGCACACCCCATTGTTAAATGTACTTACTGTAGAACTGAATTCCAGCAAGAAAGGTAAAGGCTCAGACTGTGTGCTCAGGAAAGTCAGAGCTACCTACTTTTTAATAGGGTTTAAAGAGTGACTTTACAATGGGTTGTTGTAGGTTTTTTCGGGCTATATGGCCATGGTCTAGAGGCATTCTCTCCTGACGTTTCGCCTGCATCTATGGCAAGCATCCTCTGAGACCATGGCCATATAGCCTGAAAAAGTCTACAATAACCCAGTGATTCCAGCCATGAAAACCTTCGACAATACATTGACTTTACAATGTTTTCCCCCCCAAACAAGAGCCTTTTATTCAGCCCTTTCTTTACTTCCACCTTGTCTTTAGTACTTGTTAACAATCTACAACGCTTAAGCTTTTGTTTTACCTGTAAGAGGTGCAATTATTTCCTAGGGTTATATAGTCAGGGCGTTTGAGTTTATAGTTCAGGCAGATAAACACAAACTCAGCATAAGCATTCTCAGGAAATCTGTCTATTTGGAACTGATTTCAGAGCAGAGAGTTCCCACCAAACCCAGAAAGTAGCACTGATGGGAAAGGGGATCATGAAAGTTGCAATCCTCAATGTTTAGAGAGCCATGCATTCCCCTTCCTCACAACACTAGGGGCCCTTCTTCAGGAAAGAACACTAGGAGCCCTTCTAGACTGCCATATACTCCAGAATATCAAGGCAGGTAATACACATTATCTGCTTTAAACTGGATTATCTAAGACGCCTTCCACACATCTGTATAAAATCCCACATCTGCTTTGAACTGGGTTATATGCCAGTATGGACTCAGATAACCCAGCTCAAAGCAGACATTGTGGATGGTCTTCCTTGATATTCTGGGTTGTATGGCTGTGTGGGCCCTTAGTCTACACTGCTTTATAATCCATTTCAAACCAGATAATCTGGATTTTATACAGCTGTGTGGAAGAGCTAGGACTGATTTCATGGAATGCCAGCCTAATGTGATTGCTTTAAAAAATAAAGTCAAAATGGATTCCTTGTGGTTGAGCTCTCCACTTAACTATTCACATATGGAAAAGCTGGTCTTGTTGGTTGGCATGGGCCTCTAGTAATGATATCAAGCGAGAATTTGGAGGCTCCTGCCCAGGAGAGAGGAGCCCTTAGACCCATCAAAGAGAGTCCGAAACCCTTGGCAAGCGAAAGAGGAGAAAGGCCCAGAATTTTCCCTGATTTTTCCCAAATAAATCTCACCAAGGTTGAAGAAATGGCCACCGAGGCTTTTATTAGCAATTCAGCTGAAAAGGATGCAGAGCCACAATCATTTGCCAGCAGAACATGAAAAATTACATCAAAACAGCCATTCTTATAGGAAATACAGAGTTGCATGGTTCAAACCTCCCACCCCTGCCTCCCTGCCGGTCTTCGTCGTGATTGGCCGATGAGCTAGCAGCTGGTAGGCGGCCCTCTCACCTCCTGCGCATCAGGGCCAATCAGAAAGCTTCAGCGGTGCGTTGGAACCTATCAGGGAGCTTCTGCCATCTGACAGTGGCGATGAATCAGGAGAGAGAGAGGTGGGACGATGGAACACAATAGGATTTATGAATGGGTTGTGAAAAAAATGGGTTTGCCAAGAGAACCCCGCGAGACTCAAAGTCGCAAGCAGGGCCAACCTATTGTTTCATGATTGGAGCAAATCAACACAAACAGAAAGGTCCGGGTCTTTTGTCAACAATAAACATGAGGACAATGAGGGCGAAACTGGGGTGAATGTTCCTTAGTGGGAAGTTAGTTAAATCAACCAGTGTGAAGATGGGGACTTTTCGAAGGTCCCCTGACCTCCAGGTAGAAAAATGATTAAAGTTTTGCCAGGGGACGGCAACTTTGTTGAGCGATCCTCCAAGAACGAAGGGCAGCCGCCAGGATATTGTTCATGCAAAGGAAATTCTGGATTAAAGTTCTTTAGTGAATACCTGGGCTCTGCAGTTTCCTGGGGAGATTTCTTCATGAGGAGAAGGGGGAAAAGGTCAAATGGGGGGTGGGGGGAAGCCTCTGCCACGAGGAAATCATGAAATACATAATATGTGTCCATAATTCATAAGGGTAGAAATTCATAAGGGTTTGTCCTTGTAGAGGAAGGGAAATGTTTGTGGGGAATAATAAAAGTATAAAATTCATAAGAGAAAATCTCAGAGGTTCCACTGAGCCAGCTAAGGGAGACCCACCACATTGAGATCAACTCTGGTCCTTTGTCCTTGGAAAACTGTAACTCTTTCCAAATGCTGGAGCCGAGGGACCAATCTGCTCCCTGAAAGCCTCCTGGGGTCCTTGCTATTGTTAGTGTCTTGGCAAATTGACCAAGGCTTAACCCCTATTGTGCAATCTGGTGCCCTTGCCCTTTGCAGAACTATAAGTTACTACCTCTTAAGGGGGGTGGGGCATTCTCGGCTTCAGTAACAGTAATCACTGTGGTTGGAGCTAACTACACAATTGTAGCCACACTTAACCGGGGGGGGGGGGGGGGGGAATACATTACAATGCCCTTAGCTGCAAAAAAAAAAAAAAAACCCCAAATGTTACAAGCACTGACAACAAGTAGGTATTTTTTAAATGACAGCCACATCATGTTTAGTGATGGTTGTGATATGGATCCCGGGGCTCTGCAAGAAAGCTCTATTTGGAATCATCAAACGGCCTTCATGACAAACACAACCACACAGTTAGAATGATTAGTAATGTGTTGATTGAAAGTAAAAACAGATTACGTGTCATGTTAAGGATTTAGATCAAGACCTGAATGTTCCAGAGACCTTGGACAAATAGTCCCATCTTTCCCAGTCCACATCAACAATAGTTAGGGAAGCTTGAAAAGTGCTGGGACTTGTAATGCAGTCTTGTACACATCCAGAGTATAAGCTTCCAATCCAAATTGTGTTGAACTTAGCCGAGATGACTTCTGAATCAGATATAGCCAATGTTTCTATGTACAACACAGTTCTAGTGGGAATCGCTTCTGACTAGCTCTTATTGAGCAGAATTATTGCCAGCAGCTCCTTTTAATTCGTATGGAAGGAAATTCAGGAGATTTGTTCTTTATCTGCATTTGGTCTCGTTAATGGGCTGTGCCTTAAAAAAGCAAAATTAAAACACTATAAAATGAAAATCATAGTCATATAATGGTGAAATAATATAAGATGTGTAATACATACATACATACATACATACATACATACATACACATAATAAAAGTGAAAAATGTGTCTATGTGGCGTAGATGTCCACTTAAACAAACAGTCTCCTGCCTCCACAAACAGGCTATAGTTCCAAGTGCTGAGGAGCCTCAAAGGCTTTCCCCCCACTGACACTGCAGGTTAGAACGAGCACCATGAACATGTACCCCAAATCTTGCCAATGTTCTTCTCAAACACTATGGCCCACCATCCAAGGAATGCTTTCATTCAGGGAGTATTTCATCCTAGATTTTATGTGTTTTCTCTACCACAGGCAGACATCCCAGAGTTCCTTGTGTGGAATTTGCATGACCCCATCCACTGCCTTCAACCCTTTCCTATGGCACACAGCAAACATAGATGAACTAAACAGATTGGAGGGGTTTGGGGGACTGACTCAACAGGATGGAAGTTGTAGTTCACCCTGCATCAGGGCAGAATACTGTGACCCCCTTTGATAATGGACCTGAACCACATTTGGTATGCAGAACCAAATAAGCCGGTCACCGCCATGTACCCAAGCTAGTCTATATAAATAAAAATGAAATGTTCGTTTGTGGGATTAACAGAACTCAAAACCCAGTGGGCGAATTGGCACCAAATTTGGACAGCATACACCTAACAACCCAATGTATGTCCTTCACTCAAAAAATTGATTTTGTCATTTGGGAGTTGTAGTTCTTGGGATTTATAGTTCACCTACAATTAAAGAGCATTCTGAACTCCACCAATGATGGAATTGAACCAAAGGTGACACATAGGACTTCCATGACCAACAGAAAAGACTAGAAAGGTTTGGTGGGCATTGACCTTGAGTTTGGGAGTTGTAGTTCACCTACATCCAGAGACCACTGTGGACTCAAACAATGATGGATCTGGATCAAACTTGGCACGTATACTCAATATGCCCAAATATCAACACAGATGGAGTTTGGGGAAATAGACCTTGACATTTGGGAGTTGTAGTTACTGGGATTTATAGTTCACCTACAATCAAAGAGTATTCTGAACCCCACAAACGACAGAATTGGGGCAAATGTCCCACGCTGAACCCCATCACCAACAGAAAATACTTAAGGCCATCCAGTCCAACTCTCTTCACCAGGGCAAGAAAATCTAATCAAAGCCCTCCTGATAAAGAGCCACCCAGCCATAGATATAGATAGATATATATGATTCACAAACACACAGATATAATATCATAGATTTGAAAGGGACCCCTAAAGAAGGACAATGATATATTGCTTATTCCAGAGTAGGCAAACCAGACAATCTCCACATTAGCACTGACAAAGAGACAACAAGAAATACTGTTTACCCACAAGCATAAAGAAATTACATATATTAGAAACCATTACTTTATTTTCCAGATCAACAGACTGGGTCGCAGCAACACATGGCAGGGGACTGCTAGTTATTCATAAAATCTAAAAAAAAAACATACTCTTTTTTTCCTTGTTGCTCAGGTTTTGTTTTTCTGTAATCCATGAATGTTTCTCTTTCTTGATTTTCTAGCAAAACCAACACAATATGCAAGAAGTGTGCTCAGAATGTGAAACTTTATGGAACGGTATGTATAGAAATCATTTCCCCCTCCATGTCCTGGAAACCTTTCTTGCTTCTGAACATGGTCAAATGCAGGAGTAAGCTGGAAGTAGACCACAAGACAGCACTTGCCCATTTCTGATGAATCAACTAATTCAGGTTTAGGGAGCCTACAATGCTCCAGACATTAGGTTCTTGTGGGTTTTCCCAGGCTATATGGCCATGTTCTAGGGGCATTTCTCCTGACGTTTCGCCTGCATCTATGGCAAGCATCCTCAGAGGTGAGGTCTGTTGGAACTGGGAAGGGGTTTATATATCTGTGGAATGACCAGGGTGAGACAAAGGACTTTTGTCAGTTGGGCTAGGTGTGAATATTTCAACTGACCACCTTGATTAGCATACAATGGGCTGACTGTGCCTGGAGCAAACTCTTCTTGAAAGGTAATTAGATGTCCCTGCCTGTTTCCTCTCTGCTGTTTTTGCTGTTGCAATTTTAGAATTTTTTAATACTGGTACCCACAAGAACCTAGTGATTCCAGCCATGAAAGCCTTCGACAATACATTGCTCCAGACATTGTTGGACTCCCATTAGCCTCAGTTGGTTGACAAATGAGCAGGAATTGTGAGAATGCAGTGAAGGTTGATTGCTTCAACCTCACACTTGCTGTTCACTGCAATAGTTGCAAAAAATAGAGACTAGATCAGGCATGGGCAAACTTTCTAACTTGGGGGCTGATAATAATAATAATAATAACAATAATAATATTTTATTTATTTACCGCATTTGTATACCGCCTTTCACAGCTAGAGGCGACTCAAGGCGGTTCACAGTTGGCAGCAATTTGATGCCAAAACAAATATCAAAATACAGTTAAAACAATTATAAAAACAATTCTACATTTAAAATGTAATATAAAAATACAAATATATCTGTAAAAACAAGATCCTCGGCGTCTCCTTACTAGAACTAGTTGCATCTTCAGTCATTCCATGTATTTGGTTACATCTAATTATGCTCCAGTAGAAAAAGCTTGCTCGAAGAGCCAGGTCTTAACCATTTTGCAGAATGTTAGAAGGGGGGGGAGCTGATCCCACATCCCCGGGGAGGGTGCCCCACAGCCAAGGGGCCACCACTGAGAAGGCCCCGTCTCAAATGAGCCCAAGGGGCTGTGTTCAGCCCCCGGGCCTGAATTTCCCCATGCCTGGACTAGATGGTACATGGTCTCCTTTAACTAATGCACTTTGTTGTTGTTAATCAAGATTGCCTGCTTAAGACATTTTAACACAGATTAATTACGCCTTAGCTGCCAGCTGATCCTGAATGTATACTGTTGCTTTATAGATGTATTTCATCTCAGTGGGAAATGAGGATTTTTTTAAAAAATGAAAGATAACCCAAATGAAGCGAGTACCCCACTGCTGGTTTAACACATAAGATTTGCTTTGGAGTAAAGCAAATTTAGCATTCCCCCAAAAAATGCTTTCAGTTCCTTTAACCGAGAGAAGTGGATGAGATGTTGGGAGCATTTGAGCAAATGATGTGCTGAACCTCTTCTACCTTTGATGTTTATTTTTGAAGCCTAAGCCCTGCCAGTACTGCAATATAATTGCAGCATTTATTGGGAACAAGTGCCAGCGTTGTACAAACTCTGAGAAGAAATACGGGCCACCTCATTCCTGCGAGCAGTGCAAGCAACAGTGTGCCTTTGACAGGAAAGACGACAGGAAAAAAGTGAGTATCTCTGTCTTTGTTCCTTATGGGAAATGGAGCTGCCCATTGTGCATAGATTCTGAGCATTGTCACATTCACCTGTGTCATGGGCCTGAGGAACATGTGGCCCTTCAGATGGTGTTGAACTACAGTTGCCCCCTGGTGGCACAGCGGGTTGAACAGCTGAACTGCTGAACTTGCTGACCGAAAGTTTGGCATTTTGAATCCAAAGAGCAGGGCGAGCTCCCGCTGTTAGCCCCAGCTTCTGCCAACCTAGCAGTTTGAATACATGCAAGTCTGAGTAAATCAATAGATACTGCTAGTGCAGGAAGGTTTCAGCGCTCCATGCAGTTATATTGGCCATATGACCTTGGAGGCATCTACGGACAACACCAGCTCTTCGGCTTAGAAATGGAGATGAGTACCACCCCCTAGAGTTGGACACGACTAGACTTAATGTCAGGAGAAATCTTTACCTTAACCTTACAGTTGCCATCCTATTATCTCTCCAATGTTCACAATGGCTGGTTGGAATTGTCCGGTCTATATCCTTAATATGAGGTGCCCAGAATTCCAGATGAGACTCTACCGGAGCAGAATATAGTGGGAATATGACCTCCTTCGACTTTGAATCATGCTCCTATTAATGTATCAAATTCAAGCCCCCAAACTACGAAATGATGGAGATAAATTTGGTACTTTTTTGATCCATACCAGCTTGTGAAACAAAGAAGTTTCACTCTGGGTGGGTTCATTTTGACCATTCTGATGCAAATAACATTTGAATTCTTTTTATTTTATTACTTGTATCTGCTGTATTTGATGACATAGATACTATTGGTACTTTATTATAGATGTCGAGATCCCTTGTTTGTATTGGCTATATTTTGCTTGGTTTCTTTTCCTGAAACATAAAGTTTTAAAGTTTAAATAAATATAAAAAAGAACTCCCCCCCCCCACACACACACACATACATACACACACACACACACACACACACACACATATATATATATATATATTAGCTGTCCCCTGCCACGCGTTGCTGTGGCCCAGTCTGTTGATCTGGCAAATAAAGTAATGAGGAAGTGTTGGTTTCTAATATATGTAATTTCTTTCTGCTTGTGGGTAAACAGTATTTCTTGCTATTTCTTTGTCAGCATTGATGTGGAGAGTGCCTGGTTTGCCCACCCTGGAACATGGAACGTATAGTTGTCCTTCTTTAAGGGTCCCTTTCAAATCTATGATACTATTATCTCTGTGTGTGAATCATATCTATCTATCTATCTATCTATCTATCTATCTATCTATCTATCTATCTATATCTATGGCTGGATGGCTCTTTGTGAGGAGGACTTTGATTACATTTTCTTGCCCTGATGAAGGGAGCTGGATTGGATGGCCTGAAGTATTTTCTGTTGGTCATGGGGGTTCTGTGTGGGAAGTTTGCCCCGATTCTGTCATTCGTGGGGTTCAGAATGCTCTTTGATTGTAGGTGAACTGTGACTTCCAGTGACTACAACTCCCAAATGTCAAGGTCTATTTTCCCCAAACTCTATGTGTGTTCATATTTGGGTGTATTGAGTGCTTGTACCAAGTTTGGTCCAGATCCGTCATTGTTTGAGTCTGCAGTGGTGTCTGGATGTAGGTGAACTACAACTCCAAAACTGAAGGTCAATGGCCCACCAAACCCTTCCAATATTTACTGTTGGTCAGGGGATTCCTGTGCGCCAAGTTTGGTTTAATTCCATCGTTGGTGGAGTCCAGAATGTTCTTTGATTATAGGTGAACTATAAATCCCAGCAATTACAACTCCCAAATGACAAAATCATAATTTTTTGAGTGATGGTCACTCCTTGCGTTGTGAGACATTTTGTTGCCAAATGTGGTATGATTTTGTTGACTGGTTCTTTTGTTTTTAAGGCACTCATTATGCACACAGCATTTTTATGGAAGAGACCTCCAAGGGCCATCTAGTGCAGCCCCTTCTGGCATAAGGGAAAAGCACAATCAAACCACTCCTGAGAGATGGCCATTCAGCCTCAGTATAATACTACTACTACTACTACTATTATTATTATTATTAATAATAATAATAATAATAATAATAATAATAATAATAATAGAAGAATCCTAGCATAGAAGAGACCTGAAGGGGCCATCCAGATCAGCTCCTTTTGGGAAATGAGAGAAGCACAATCTAAGCACTCCTGAGAGATAGCCAGCTTCAGGTTAATAATAAGAATAACAATAACAACAACAGTAATAATAGTAGTAGTCCACTTACATCTGGAGAACACTGTGAACCAAAACAAAGATGGCCAAATTTGAACACGGTGGAGTTTGGGGAAGACCTTGACATTTGGGAGTTGCTTGGGGGGGCCTCTGGAAGACCCCCCAAGAGGTCTCCCAGAGGCCCAGCACCAACCCCTGCCTGGCCTTCCGGTGCCGCATGCCTCTCTTCTCCAGCCCCAACGCCTTCCTGGGCAGTCACGGCTCTTCCCCCCCCCCGCTATGTGGTGAGGCCCAAATCTCTGGCGATGGAGGAGCTCTTACATGCATGTGCGTACCCCCCACAGCTGCACACATGCGCTGTGATGGCTTCTCCTTTTATTAAGGATTGCTAAGTTGTTTTCGGTGTTTTCCTAATTTTTATTATTGTTGGTCACACCTTGCATGGTGAGGAGTTTTGTTGCCAAATTTGGTGGCTATTGGCCCAGTGGTTCTTTTGATTTTAAGCCACTCACGACAACGACAACCTATATATATATATATATATATATATTTATTTGATACACTTGTATACCGCTAATATCTCAGCCTAGAACGGCGACTCATTGCGGTTTACAGCAGTTAAAACAATCTACAATTTAAAAACATATAGACATATAATAACAAATTCAATAACAAATTATTGGGCCACCAATAATAATCCCATATATCTCGAGTTGAAATCGCAATCCAGAATTCGTTGTCCATGTTTCCTGTCCTTAGTCATCAATATTCGAATTGCCACAGATTAGCCGAATGCTTGTTTGAACAGCCATGTTTTGAGTCTCTTCCTAAACACCATCAGCGAAGAGGCTGATCGTACCTCTATAGGGAGGGTGTTCCAAAGCCGGGGGGCCACCACAGAGAAGGCCCTGTCTCTCGTTCCCGCCAGCCGCACTTCTGAAGCTGGAGGGATAGAGAGAAGGGACTCTCCAGGAGATCTTAGGGTCCTGGTGGGCTGATAGGCTGAGATACGTTCGGATAGATAAGTTGGGCCAGAACCGTTTAGGGCTTTAAAGGCCAACGCCAGCACTTTGAATTGAGCCCGGTAGCATATCGGCAGCCAGTGGAGCTGGTTCAGCAAGGGAGTTGTATGCTCCCTGCGATCAGCTCCTGTTAGAATCATGGCTGCCGCCCGTTGGACTAACTGGAGCTTCCGGACTGTCTTCAAAGGCAAAGGCATATATGTGTGTGTGTGTGTGTGTGTGTGTATGTGTATATATATATACATACACACATTCTTCCCTATTTTTAAAAAATTCTGGTGTTAAAGTAAAGGTTTTCCCTGACATTAAGTCTAGTTGTGTCCGACTCTGGGGGTTGTTGCTCATCTCCATTTCTTAGCCAAAGAGCTGACGTTGTCCATAGACACCTCCAAGGTCATGTGGCCATTGGCATGACTGCATAGAGTGCCATCACCTTCCTGCAGAAGCGTTACCTATTGATCTACTCACATTGGCATGTTTTCAAACTGCTAGGTTGGCAGAAGCTGGGACTAACAGCAGGAGCTCACCCCACTCCCCAGATTATAACTGCCAACCTTTTGGTCAGCAAGTTCAGCAGCTCAGCTCAGCCAGCAGCTGGTTACTTTGGGAAATTTAGAAAATCTGAAATAGAACTATGTTCCAGTCAGCATTTATATCCAAGATTTGAAAGTTTAGATTTGGATAATCACTCAAAATCATAAAGCATTTTTTGATTCCAGATGGTTAATACACCTTTGTTTGTTTGTTTCTTTATTCGGTAGAGGATAGGAAATAATACCTTGTGATTCTGATTGACTCACTTCACGGTCCTTAGGTGGATGGGAAGCTACTTTGTTGGCTTTGCACGCTGTCCTATAAACGAGTGCTACAGAAGACCAAAGAGCAACGTAAACACCTGAGCACCTCCTCCCGAACCAGCCTGCCAGAGAAGGAACAGTATGGCCGACTTACCAGCAGCAGCCACTACAGGTAATTAATTGTGCATCACTCTGCTGATAACACATTCAGCTTCATACATTTCTTTTGCAGAAGGGAAGTAGCACGTAAAGGGCTCAAGGCCACCATCTCTCTTATATAATCAACTCTGCATCCTTTTTTGTCAGTTTCAAAATTCTGAATGCAATAATAATTACACTAAATGTGAGAATTGGAAAGATATTGTGATTTTGTTAACTTCATTCTTAGAAAAAAATATTTTGTTAATTTTTATTTATTTGCTTCATTTCTGTCCCTCTTTTTCTTCCCAGAGGGACTCAATACCGAGAACAATAACATGACATTTCCCAATTAAATTTAAAAACAAGGAAAATAAAATTTACATTTTTTAATATTTGTGTCATGAATACAAGTTAAAATACAGTTAAAATATAATAAAACGTTAATTTAAAAGCTCAAGTTTGTTGGGTGTGTGGGCTTATTAACAAAAGACCCTCCCCATGAATGTATAGCAAAGTAACTTAGCAGCAATATGACCCAGCACCAGTAGCCCAAAGTGACAAAAAAAGAACAAAAAACACACAAACCAATGTTATTTCTTCCATAGGAGGGTTTTCTTTATAGCAAAGTAATATGGTTGCACTATTTCCAATAACTAGGTTTCCACAACACAAATAAAGTTCAGCTTCACATACAAGGCCTTCTCATATTGAGGCCTACCTCATAATCAGGCCTGCTAACAATGAGGCCTATTCTCCCACTGAAACAATCTCTCACATTGAGAGGCTTCTCTCACACTGAGAGCTCTCTCAGACTGAGGTGATACTAAGCAACAGGCAGCTCTCTGAGTCACTGTGCTTGTAACCAAAAATGCCTAGTTAATTTTTAATTTTAATATTTCTGACAAGTCTGCCCCATATCTTTAGAAAGACCCTGCATTAGTCTTGACTTCCTTCTAGTCTATTACTATTCCGAAAGATAGTTCTGTTATGGCAGTGTATCTGTACACATGATTCCTGAGAAAACACCCTGTCAATTGTAAATACAGGCAATACTCAAGTTACGAACAAGATAGATTCTACAGGTTTGTTCTTTAGTTGAATGTATATGTAAGTCAGAATAGGTAAGTTTTAAGTATAACTCCAGCCATATATAGATGTGTGTGTGTGTGTGTGTGTGTGTGTGTGTGCAAGCTTTGGATAGCTTACCTGCAAATACCAGTAATCATTATTCATCAATAGCTCTTAACATTTTGACATTCGTGGGTGTTGACTATGCATTTCCAGCCATTTCTTCATAGCACAAGAAATAAAAAAAACTTTTTAAAAATAGAAGGAAAAGAAAGCTTTGATACAAATGACAGTTAATTCTGCAGTCATGATCACATTCTGTGCCTCTGCTGAATGGCAGCATATCTATAGCCCATCTTAAATCATCATTGGAAGCCCTTGTTGGCAAAGAAATAGAGCCAATATTGTTTAGCATATTTGGCCAGCAAGGTCTGAATTTGGCTGTGAAGTTAAATGAATGAACTGGGTCCAATGTCTCTCCATCAGCATCTTCTCTGTCTGTCTGTCTGCCCATCTCTCTTCTTTCTTTCTCCTCCCACCACCACATATTGTCTGTCTGTCTCTTCCTTGATCTAGCCAATCTCATAATGCTATTGTAAGGACAAAAAGAAATGCGGGGAGAACTATATGTGTGACGCCACTTTCCTAATATATACTAATTTTTAACTGTAGTCAGAAGAATCCAAAGTAGTGTTTCTGAACATGATAAAAGTACGAGGGGTATTTTTTAAGTAAGGTCCGGTGGAACATAAGTACACAACGAAAGTTTATTTCAAAAAAGTAAATTTATTTTCAGAAAGTACATACTTCACTCTATTTTTCGACATAGTTGCCAAGTTTGTTCAAACACTTATCATACCTCTGAACCAATTTTAAAATACCCTCTTCATAAATACTTGCCGCCTGCTCCGATAACCAAATTGTCTGTAATCAAAGAAGGGTGACCGGAGCGGTCCTCATCATGGACATTGTCACGGCCATCTTTGAATTGTCGTACCCACTTACGCACTTTGCTTTCACTCATAACAGTATCACCATACATTTCACAAATCTGTCGATGAATTTCTGCAGCAGGCAGGCTCCTTAGTGACAAAAACCGTATCACTGAGCGAACCTCACATGCGGAGGGTGAGTTGATAGTCTTAAACATTTTTAAAACACAGAACAGAACCGTACAGGTTAGCTACAGAGCGGAAACTGAGCACAGTTGTTCCCGAGGCATGCCGGTACACGACGCACGCGCTCGTTGCGGTATGCGCACAAAGTATTTATTTATTTATTTATTTATTTATTATTAACTTTATTTATACCCCGCAAAATCTCCCGAAGGACTCAATGCAGCTTACAAAGGCCAAGGCCACCAACAAAACAACAGCATACAAATACAACAGTAAAACTCATAAAGCAAATAATAAAACATCAAGCAAAACAATAAAACACTAAAACAATAACACCATGACGCATTTAAAACCTAAGGCCGGGCCATATGTAATAGACAAAATTTAAAAAGTGCTGGACTTGACAGGTGATATGTAGAGGTTTTTGGAGGTAGGTGCAATGTGCAGACAATCCTAAATCTCTAACAAGGTGCATTTGGGACATGATGCCAGGAGTTTCCTATTCTGGAAAGGCACACTGGAACAGTCAGGTCTTCAGGCTCTTCCTAAAGACTGCCAACGTTGGGGCTTGTCTGATGTCCTACTAGTGTCTACAACAAAACTAGTGTCTACTAGTGTCTACAACAAAACGGACCTTACTTAAAAAATACCCCTCGTATATAGATACCCATCTGTACAGATAAAGTAGCCGGGTAACAACCGAGCTATGGAGTGTAGTTCTTTTATCTTGTTGTGAAATGCTTAGCTACTGAGCATGTTGAGTTTTATGAAAAAGTGCATTGAAAATAATCTCTCCTTCATTATCTTCAAGAAATGTTGCAGTCACTCCTGTTTCAAGGTTTTTGGCAAGTACAGTAGAGTCTCGCTTATCCGACCTTCGCTTATCCGACATTCTGTCTTATCTGACGCACTTATCCAATGCTCCCCTTTTCCTCTAGCATTTCCCCTTCTGTTGAAGGAGCATCCCCCAACTCTCTCTCCATTCCTGATAAGTGAAAAAGGCAAGATAAGGAGTGGGGGAGGAAAGAGAGGGGGGAAAGAGGCAGGACTGGAAGCAGAAGCGTCCTCCCTCCTTCCCATGCTCCTCTTCCGCATCCAGACACTTTCTGCTGGGCCGCTCTAGCCCCGAGGTATTGCCTTTAACTCTTTGAGTCCTTATTGTTAGTATTCTAGGTGTCTAATGCCGTGCCAGACAGTAACAGTAGGAGACTCCATATTATCCGACATTTCCGTTTATCCGACATTCTGCCAGCTCGCCAGCAAGACTCTACTGTAATAAACAAATAAAACAATATCCAGGAATCCAACTGTAGAATTGCAAACCTAACGTCTGTAATTTGTTTTCTTTGCAGCCAGAAAACATTATCTACATCTTCTATTCAGAATGAAATTCCAAAGAAAAAGCCCAAGTTTGATGCCATATCAGCCAATGGGGACAGGTGAGCCAGTTAAAATTTGGCAGTGTAGATGAGAAGGCTGATCTGTTGATTAAAAACAAAAGATTTTAGAACAAATGTCCCACTGCTTACAGGCTGAAAAGTAATGTTCTCCTGAATTTGAGGGTTATTGTGGAACCACTTTGTCATTTTAATATTTAATATTTAAATAAATAACTTTTGGTGAAAACATTTGGCAACAAACTGTGTTCTTATAGTTATACAATGCAGTTTAGATGTCCTGAGAAGCAGGTTTAGTTCAAGCAGTGCAGAAGAGGTATGCGAGGGAGTGGGGGACTGAGAGAGAGGAATCAAAGAAGAAGAAGCTTAAATCATCCCATTTTCTCCCTGTTTTATTCTGGGAGAAGGCAAATCCCAACCCTCTCTGGAGCCATAGCTTCGATTTTGCAGCTGCGTTATACAAAATGTGTTGGGGTTACTTTTCTTTTTCTTTTTCTCAAAAAGGCACCCAATTGAAATATCAGGCTATAGTTCCCTGATTTCTTTACCAGGAAAGAATGAGGGAGCTAAGGTTAATTTTTTCCATTCTTGCTGTTCATATTTTCATTCCTCCCTTTCCTCTCTAATTCTCAGCGTTCCTTCCTCTCCCGAGACGCTTTGTCCCCCTATCCAGAGTGCCCCGTCCGTGTTGGCGCAGTGGGCTGCTTCCCAACAGAGTCTCGGTGCCCATGATTGTCCTGTTTCTCAAGGCACTGACATCCTGAAGTGAGATCACATATTTTCTCCCCTGTTTCCTTCCCAACCCTGGGAATTGTCTCATCTGTGGAAGTACTCCATGCTGATGGGTTTCCTCCTAGAACTCATTGTGTCAGGAGCATGGGCCAGATGATGGGCCAGAATCTCTGCGTGTATCTGAATTCATTCCTAGACAATCCCATATGCTTCTCTGCCACTTCTTCGTTGTCTGTGGTGACTAGATATAGACATATCAAGGCAGGAAACCCTGATGTGCAGAGATAAGGTTATGCTAGATCACTGCGAAAAGGCTCAGAAACTACTTTACATGGAGTTAAAGCATCAACCTATTTAATGCCGTGTGTTTCACACTGACAAGCAGCAGGTCTCTGGGGATTCATACTGGAATCTTTTCCAAACCTTGCATGGAAAGGTGGGTGATTGAACCTCAGACCTTTTACCTAGAAAGCTTATGCTATGCTACTGAGATAAAGCCTTTCTGAGTCCCCTTTGGGGGAGATAAAGCGGGATATGAATATAATAATCATCATCATCATCAGCCAGCAGCGTAATCTTGTCTGCTGTGGACTCATCTTGTTGTGTTTCAAATAATAATAATAATAATAATAATAATAATAATAATAATAATAATAATAAAAAATCACACAGTCCTAGACACTTGGGAAGTGTCCGACGTGTGATCTAATACAACAGCCAGCAGAGTGTCTGCTGTGGATTCATCTTGTTGTGTTTCTAATAATAATAATAATAATAATAATAATAATAATAATAATTCTCCAAGTTTCTGTCCAAAATTATCCAACCCAAGATCACCCATACTGGCTGTACCAACAACATCATGGCAACAGCATGAGTGAGGCATGCTGATAGGATGAGGAAAGAGATAAAAACATGGAGAATAAATGCAAAAGTTCCCACTGAATCCTGCAGTGTTATCATGTAACTGCTACTAGAGAGGAAGATTTTATTCTCTAAACACGTCTTTCTTATAAATCTACCTTGAAAAGAACAGTAAATGACCTTCATACCTGTCCCCATGCCAGTCTGTTGAATTTTTGAAATGTTGATACAAGAAAAGCCTGTTTGCAACAACTAGAACAGGCATGGGGAAATTTCAGCCTTCTAGAACTCCTATAATTGATGTGGTTTGTAGGCTTGGGCAATCCATGGTTCTAAATGGTTCTAAAGTACTTACAAAACTAAAGTTCTGGTGGTGAAAATTTCAGAACTCTAACAAAACTCTCAAAATTTCATAATAAATGGCAGTTCCTAATTGGTTCTGTCATTAAAATCACCAATAATGAAATAATAATTAAATTTTGAAAGTTTTGTTAGAGTTCTGAAATTTTCACCACCAGAACTTTAGTTTTGTAAGTACTTTAGAACCATTTAGAACCATGGATTGCCCAAGCCTAGTGGTTTGGTCCTCACTGCAACCTTAGTGAAAAGTGATCATTTTATTATTTTGAGAACTGCAGATTGTCTGACTTTGTCAGAAAAACACTGCTTCCAAAGCAGTTTTTACACACAGCAGCCTTTCTACACTGGAGCTTCACACATGAGGCTTTACACATGAGGCCTTCAACCTGGGTCTTCTTTCACCAAAGCTTCTCACACCAGGCCTTCCTCAGACTCGGCCTTCTCATAGACTAAAGCCTACCTCACGCTGTGAGGTCTACCTCACAGAATAAGACCTTTCTCCCACTGAGGTTTACCTCGGACCGAGGGCGTTACTAAGCAACAAGCATGCCAACTTATATTGAACCACAGCTTTTGCTGAGTGATTGCATCCATTTAACCCTTTCAGTGCTTGACTCATATTTTGTAATTAAAAATACCTAGTTAATTTTTAATATTTCTTTACTTTATTTTACTTTAGTTTAAAGGGTGGCTTCCTTTCTCTCACGGCAGTTTATGATCAATTTGAATCTTGAAATTAGTGTAGTGTGAAGTTAGTGTTTCCTGAGGAAACTACCAGCCAACCACTCTTCAAAACAATACTTTGGGGCTTGTTTTATTATAGATATGAAGCAGTGAACACTTTGGTTTAGATGACTTGTCTCTTGGGACCTAAATATTCCCTGTGGAAAGTAGCCTTTGCAGCACTAGCATCCCATTCCTTTGTTTCTTTCCCACTTATTATTGTTGGGTCAAATGTGCTGTTTCTCAAACTTCTTCCAACTTCATCCACTGTGCAAAAAGTGCTGTCAAGAAACATATAGATTCCATACTGATGAAATTATTCTGTGGTGGCTATTCCTTTTTATGTATGATTTAGAAATGTTAGGGGGAACTACCCTAAATAGAGCATCCGAAAACAAACAGGATACAAAAGTTGAACAATAGCTCACAGGAAGCAAAGCATGAAGTGCTATTTGATTTGGCTATAAAGAATTTAGAGCTTAGGAGGCAAAGATGTAGAGTCCAATCTTAAAAATCACACAAAAGTTTATTTACAACTAGCTGCCCCCCGCCACGCGTTGCTGTGCCCACTCAGGTGGTCATGAAGGTTCTGTATGGGAGGTTTGGCCCAATTCTATCGTTGGTGGGGTTCTGAATGCTCTGTGATTGTAGGTGAACTACAAATCCCAGCAACTACAACTCCCAAATGTCAAGATTCTATTTTCCCCAAACTCCACCAGTGTTCACATTTGGGCATATTGAGTATTTGTGTAGAGTTTGGTCTAGAGCCATCATTGTTTGAGTCCACAGTGCTCTCTGGATGTAGGTGAACTACAGCTCCAAAAGCAAAGGACACTGCCCACCAAACCCTTCCAGTATTTTCTGTTGGTCATGGGAGAACTGTGTGCCAACTGTGTGGTTCAATTCCATCGTTGATGGGGTTCAGAATGTTCTTTGATTGTAGGTGAACTATAAATTCCAGCAGCTACAACTCCCAAATGACAAAATCATTTTTTTTGAGTGAAGGACATACATTGGGTTGTTAGGTGTCTTGTGTCCAAATTTGCTGTCAATTTGTCCAGTGGTTTTTGAGTTCTGTTAATCCCACAAATGAACATTACATTTTTATTTATATAGATAATAAATAACTACATTTCTTCTGAGTAAAGAACTGGGTATTCTAAGTTTTCAAGAGAGGGAAATACATGTAAGTGTACATACAGGTATCATATATAAGTCAATGTCATGGATAAATCGAGGGCAGATTTGGGGGCCAGAATTATAGATATTTATATGAGTTATGGAGAAGTTGGGGGTCTGTGAAGAAGAGAAAGCACTAATGCTGCCTCAGGGACAAAGCTCTTATCTTTCACTACTCTACTGATAGAAGGAGATTTAAAGATTTCAGCACGGATCCCATCAGGCCCGCTGGCTTTGTTATTTTTTAGTGAGCTGATGGCTTTGCTGACTTCCTCCAAACATTTTCCTTTTTTAATATAAGATTTAGGGTGCAGTTATCACATTAACCTGTCGATAATTTGATCTTTTTGAGTTGATTTTTTTGCTAAAGTGTCTAGACTTATACATGAGTATACAGCAGGCATGGGCAAACTTGGGCCCTCCAGGTGTTTTGGACTTCAACTCACACAATTCCTAACAGGCTATCAGCTGTCAGGAATTGTAGGAGTTGAAGTCCAAAACACCTGGAGGGCCCAAATTTGCCAATGCCTGCTATATAAGGTATATTTTAATGTATTTATTTGATTTCTATTCACCAGAATGGCAGGTATATGTGTTTGTGTGCTTATATTCTTAATGCCCTAGTCCTTTTATAATCTGAGTACCATTTACATGTACGTACCTATTTACAATTTTTGAAGAATTTTGTTTGGGATTTAATTGTGATTAACACAACTTCTTGCAGTATCTGTTCAATGCCACTAGAGAGCAGAAACAACCCACAGAAATAAATTACAAGCTCATAGTCAGAATATTGGTTAGATAGAATAATTATATTCCATCGAGCTTTTCAAAGCTCATGCCATTTATATAGCTAGCTATATTCCGGACGAACTAAAAAAGAAAGAAAGAAAGATATGTCACAACAGTTGATTGTTCTGATGCATAACATGTACTCAGGGCAAGGGGCTATTCTCAGAACAGGATACGGCGAAAAGGGTTAGACAAGACTGCTTTTTGTCACATTCTCTGGTTAACTTATAGAATCATGGAGTTGTTGTAGATTTTTTCGGGCTATATGGGCATGGTCTAGAGGCATTCTCTCCTGACGTTCCGCCTGCATCTATGGCAAGCATCTTCAGAGGTAGTGAGGTCTGTTGGAACTAGGCAAAAGGGTTTATATATCTGTGGAATGACTAGGGTGAGACAAAGGACTCTTGTCTGGGTGTGAATGTTTCAACTGACCGCCTTGATTAGTATTTGATTGCCTGGCAGTGCCTGGAGCAATCTTTTGTTGAGAGGTGATTAGATGTCCTTGTTTGTTTCCTCTCTGTTGTTGTGCTGTTCTAATTTTAGAGTGTTTTTTTTTAATACTGCTAGCCAGATTTTGTTCATTTTCATGGTTTCTTCCTTTCTGTTGAAATTGTCCACATGCTTATGGATTTCAGTGGCTTGTAGTCTGACATGGTGGTTGTTGGAGTGATCCAGCATTTCTGTGTTCTCAAATAATATGCTGTGTCCAGGTTGGTTCATCAGGTGCTCTGCTATGGCTGACTTCTCTGGTTGAAGTAGTCTGCTGTGCCTTTCATGTTCCTTGATTCGTGTTTGGGCAATGCTGCATTTGGTGGTCCCTATGTAGACTTGTCCACAGCTGCATGGTACATGGTAGACTCCTGCAGAAGTGAGAGGATCCCTCTTGTCCTTTGCTGAACGAAACATTTGTTGGATTTTCTTGGTGGGTCTGTAGATAGTTTGTATGTTGTGTTTCTGTTTAAAAAAGAAGGAGAGTTCACCACTTTCCAAAGTAGCTGAATAACAGCTCTATCAGGATTTTTTTTCCTAATGTTTAGATGAGATCTCTTTTCTTGCAATTTGAATCCATTCCTCCATGTTCTAATCTCTGGAGCATCCTTTACAAACATCCTTTTCTTGTAAACAAACTAGTAAAATGTTGACTATATAATATTACCAGTAGGCGGATTTGTAATTGGTTAAGCAACCAAACCCAAAGGGTGCACACCATTGGTTCCCCTTCATCGTGGAATGAAGCTTTTATCACTGAAGTCACATTAGAAACAAACAGCACAGGGCATTATGCATGAAAGGTGTGCACATTCATTCTTAAGAAAGAGAATCTCAGTGAGTGAGTGACCGTGGGGTTATTATGCCTGGTGCTCTGTGATACTAACCTCTCCCTTTGAATTAAAAGGCCATTATATATAACTTAAGTTATCTTTGTCTCCCTTAGTTTTTCTCCAGACCTGGCCTTGGACTCTCCTGGCACTGACCACTTTGTCATCATAGCTCAGCTGAAAGAAGAAGTGGCCACTCTGAAGAAAACGTTGCATCAGAAAGATCAGATGATCCTGGAGAAAGAGAAAAAGGTAGAGCCTCCTTCAGCTTCCTTTGTGAGGAAATGGATCCTGGCAAGCAATATAGGCTCGCCATCCACCCTGTTGTTCTCTTTGAAGTGTGAATTGTAATGTCCTTGCCAACATCATCATATCTCTGAAGCCCAGTACAATGGTGGAAAGGACCCCAGTCCAAAAGAGAGGGTTGTGTAGGTTGAGTATTCCTTATGCAGAACTTTGAAATCCAAAATACTCCACTGTGTATTTTGACTGAGACAATATTTTGGATTTCAAAGTTCTGGATAAGGAATACCCAACCTACACAACTAACTCTTTCTGATTGGGGTTTGTAACAACAAAGATGGAGGACAAACAACAAGGTCTGCCCCAGGCAAGGCCGTGAGGGATAAGAGAATGCTGGGCCCAGCCATTTTGGATAAGGGATACTGAAACCATGCTGAAGATATGGGTCTGCTCACTTTCCTTACCTTCTACAACTGTGTTGTTTTTAAAGGATGGATGAGGATATATTTGGTTGTCCAGATGTTTGAGACTGCTGCTTCTATAATCTATGATGCTGGTTGGACCTTTTGGGAGTGAGGTCCAAAACATCTGAAGTTCTAAACCCAACGTGAACCGGCTGGTTCTCCCATTCTATTTTCCCTTAATTTGAAGCTCTCTGAATTCTTGTTAATATAATAGTCCATTGTCCTCAGGTATTTTAGTTGTGGAATTAATGGGATCAGGTTACTGGGCATTAATCAATGGGGAAATTAACTTGCATCAAATAGTGTCCAGCTTAATATTCAAGAGATGGCTCCCTCCTCTCGACATTGCATGTTTGGAAGAAATGGCAAAATAAATTACAAATAAATAAAATAGATCCCTTTCCGCTAGAAACCCTGGAAAATAAAGATAAAATATTTAGGAATTTAATCAGGTCCCTGAAAGAGAATGGAGTAAAGAAGGTAGGAGACCTCTTGGAACCCAATGGAGATATTAAAAAATGGGATAAGATAAAGGACAAATGTGGCTTAAAGTATTGGAAAGCTTGGTTAGGCCTGTCGCAAAGAGCACAAGAAATAAGAAAGAAAGAAACATCAGATGCCCCATTGGATAGAATAATTGGCTGGAAAATAGAAAAAGAGAAAGGCATTATAGGGGAAATATATAAGGAACTAATAGCTTTATCCTACAATACAAAACATACTTTAGTAGAGGCCTGGAAACAGGATATAAACTTCAATGAAAACTTAGTAAGCTCCTAGATCGATAAAACCCAAAAAATTAAACATCTAAGAATCAAAGAAACTCAAAAGAAAATAATTTCAAAATGGTATAGGACCCCCTCTCAATTGGTTCACATTATGAAAAACACATCTAACAAATGCTGGCATAAATGCAGGGAGATTGGTGCTTTTTCACACATGTGGTGGGACTGCTCTGAAATCCAAAAATATTATAATACTGTTAGAGAAGTAATAGAGGAAATAATAGAGCAAAAACTACTTTGGAATAAAGCTCGATTTCTGTCCCTCAACATAGAGGTAAAGGAGGGGAACAATGAATGGTCAGATATATTGAAATTTATGATAGCCACTATACATGCCACAATCATCAGAGGTTGGAAAGATAAAACAAGGTGGGACTTGAAAACCTGGTGGTCTTATCTCTCTGAATATTTAATTAATGACTTCATCTATGAAAAGAAAAATAAATATTTGAATATTCAGTCAAGACAAGATTGGTATAGGAAATGGTCTTGTTTAATCGACAAACGTAAGGAAAAGATAGGTACAGAACTTTAAATCAGGCCTTCCAGACAATTAAATCAATGTACTGACTTAAGTAAACCCAGATGGTGGTGGGTGGGAGGTGGGAAGAGGGTGATAAGGGTGGGTGGGTGGGTGGTTTAAAGGGGTAAATAATAGAGATATATGGCAAAGGGAAGCACAATTGGAACCTGTATCCTAGCCATAAAAATTGTAAACAGTTTTTGATATTATCTTTTAGATGGCTAAGGTTTGTATTGTATTGTTTTGTCATCTGTATGAAGAAATTAATTTAAAAAGTTTTAAAAAGCTTGATATTCAAACTAAACAGATATTGAATTGTATGTATATATGATTCTACTATTAAGGGAATGTGTAACTAATATCCATATTGGAATTCTACAAGGGTGCATCCCACTGTTGGATGCACATTTAGTGCAATTCAGACTACATTTAGTGCAATTCAGACTACATTATTTTCCTTGCGGTTGTTTGATCGGTTTGCAGATAACTGAACTGAAGGCTGATCTGCAATACCAAGAGTCACAAATGAGGGTCAAAATGAACCAAATGGAGAAGACTCACAAGGAAGTCACGGAACAATTGCAGGTGATTTTCTTGAACTTGATCCATCAGGGAGCATGCATGAGATCAAGTAGATATTTATTGTCATAGACAAACACGGTAAGAGTTTGTGTAATCACATGGAATAATATCTTATTTTCAACTAGAAATGGAAATTATGTTTATCTTTTTTCCTTCCTTGGCTTGAAAAACTGGTTTTCTGACACTTGAGAAAACCAGGTAGAAAGAACAAGATAGTGGCAAGAATTGTTTGCAGTTGATGCCCAGTATTTCTGTTATCATGGAATGTTTGGGGAAATTATTCTGACCAGGAATGCACATTTATGGGCGCAAGAGAACTCTGGGATTTTGTAGGAAAACACTGTCTTTTATCTGTTTGCTCTTTTCAGTGCAACACATCAGAGCAATACTGCATAACCATAGTCTCATACCAAAGCATAACCTTGCATAAAAACCGGCAGTCTTGCTCAAAATTAGCCACATACAGTAGAGAAAAGAGCCCAAGGGCCTGCATCCGCCCTCTCTCCCTACTTGGGTTTCCCTATACTTGTGTTAGAGCCTAATCTACTACAATTTACACCCCTGTGTATATACTTACCTGGGAGTTAATCCCTCTGGGAACACTCGTTTATTTATTTGTATCCTGCTTTATCTCTCCATACGGAGACTCAAAGCGGCTCACAATCAAAACCTTTACAGCTTAAAATATACAAAAACACAATAATAAAACAGTAGATCATTATATATTATTATATATTATCAGTAGTAATTAAAATATTAGTATTACTATATTACAATATGATTACTATATTGTATTGTTCATATTTTATTGTATTACGTTATAATATTATCAATATGTACAATATCTACAGTATATTATATTATTAGCATAACATATTATTAGTATTATACATTAATATATCGTACTATACCACTATACTGCAATATTATTAGTAATATCACATGTAATATATAATATACAGTTATTATAATTATATATGAGAGAGACATGAGAGAAGCCTCCCACAAGGATGATAAAAACATGAAATCATCTGGGCGTCCCCTGGGCAACGTCCTTGCAGACGGCCAATTCTCTCACACCAGAAGCAACTTGCAGTTTCTCAAGTCGCTCCTGACACGAAATAATAATAATTATTATTATCATTATTATTATTAGTAGTAGTAGTATTAGTAGTAGTAGTATTATATATATTATTATATTGTACTACAGTAGAGCCTTGCTTATCCAACATAAATGGGCCGGCAGAATGTCAGATAAATGAAAATGTTGGATAATACAGAGTCTCCTACTATTACCCATGTGATGTGGCACTAGACCCCTACAATATTAACAACAGGAACTCAAAGGGTCAAGGCAAGGCAACGCCTCGGGGCTAGAGTGGCTTAGCAGGAAATGCCCGGATGCGGAAGAGGAGCATGGAAATCACCGAGGGAAGGAGGAAGGACACTTTCACTTCCGCTTTGCAATAATTTTAATGCATAAGTTCTTTTTATTACAATTTTCCAGTGTTATGGGGTATATCAGAACTTTTACACAACAAAGTTTAGACATACAGACATACGGATTCTATGCAACTATGTTGGATTTACAACTACCTACAGTTACGTTGGACAAAAAAACAAACAAACCAAGGACAATTACATTTTTACTCAGCATTCACCTTCACATATAGACATTCATCTATCACCATGCATCCGAGTATTACCATATCCTTTTCTCCTTCCTTGGAGAAGAACACCTGTTAGGCCAAACCCTACTTTCCTGCAGCCTGCCAATGCATAGTTCCAAAACTTCCATAACGCCAAAATGCATCCTTTCCCTAAGCACAGTGCCAAGGATCAGCTCCCTGTTTTCCATACAGCAGAACCTGATTATGTAACATGACTCCAAAATCCACTCCTTCCTCTTCCCATGAGAAAGAAGCAAGTGAACAGACTGCTCCCTTGCAAATCTGCCACTCTCTGAATACACCATCACTGTCCTTCCCATGGAGCTGAGAGGCAAACAGCTCTGCTGTCTGTCACAATTTGAGAATTATCAGGTTGAGTCTTTTATAGGAATGTTCTGCTGATGTAGTCCCAAAGTTGTAAATTAATGATAGACGTCTTCCATTCTGGCTCCATCTCAGTTTCCTGGCCAGATGTTGACTCTTCATGATTGGTGTTAGCCTTGTGTTGCCTTCCTTCTTAACACTTCTCTTATCACTGTCACAGTTCTTATCACAGTTTACCATGGCAGCTCAACCATTTCGGTTCTCATTAGCAGGTTTGAATTACAATTCCAGCAAACAGGCAATTAGTCATGGCAGGCCTTAATATTTTAGAATGGTGTCTCCAAAATTATTAGCTCCATTCATACACCTTCCATTCAGTTCTATTCATACCTTCACAACATATTAAATCCACACTTATCAAATCTGCACATTATATTTCTAGTGACACAGTTACACCCTTCGCAATTGGGAACAGAACTTTAGTGCCTTTCCCGACCCAGTAGGAAGACTGGAATAAATAATATTAAATAATGAAACTGCAGAATACATTGGTTTCTATAATATATGTAGGCCCCAGAACTGAGCTTTACTCTGAGCAGAGGTTGCTTTTGTTTTGTATACTTCTTTGCTTACACTGGGGGGGAAAGTATTTAGTTAGATACCAATTGTACAAGTTCTCCCACTTAAAAAGATGAGAGAGGCCTGTAATGGAAATCATAGGTAGACCTCGACTATGAGAGACAACATGAGAAAACACATCCAGGAAATCACATTGTCTCATTTTTAATGAATTTATTTGCAAATCATGGTGGAAAATAAGTATTTGGTCCATAACAAAAGTTCATCTCAATACTTTGTTATATATACTTTATTGGCAATGACAGAGGTCAAACGTTTGCTGTAAGTCCTCACAAGGTTGGCACACACTGTTGCTGGTATGTTGGCCCATTCCTCCATGCAAGAGCAGTGATGTTTTAGGGCTGTTCCTGGGCAGCACGGACTTTCAACTCCCTCCAAAGGTTTTCTATAGGGTTGAGATCTGGAGACTGGCTAGGCCACTCAGGACCTTGATGTTGGGGTTCAGCTTCCGTGTGAACCTGAGCCTCAATCTCTGTGTGAACCTGATTCTCTGATTGTATTTCCTGATGCAACTGAGCAAGCCACTGAACATGTATCTTTCCCTAATAGTGTTGAAACTGTTGATGCTGAGGTCAGTGGCGGGGAAAGTGAAACTAAACAGCCTGATGAGAATGTTTTAGAATCAAGCCGTGATAGCTCTCCAGAGGGAATCACACCTGGGTTTTTTAATGAGGACCGAAGGAAACAAATTTGGAAAAACAGGAGTGAATCACAGTTTCTACGAAGGTCAAATAGATTATGGGAGAGGGAGGCTCAGACTTCAAAGTCTGGGGGCATTTCAAGAAATAGTTTCTTTAGTTTAAGGGGCCTCCCCCCCGGTTGTCTCGTTCAAGCAACGTTTTAGACTGCGGCAGCACCTTGGCAGTTTTCCTGTGTTCCATGGCCTGCATTCCCAGAGGCTTCTAGTTTTCAAGTACGGTTAGTGATATGCTAACAGGTTCCTGGTTTTGTATTGTTGTTTTTGGAATTTTGCTCCAGTTCAAAGATTTTTCCTGCCTGCTGAGTTTCTACTGTGGCTTTTTGACTTTGCATTTACCTTTCTTTTGTAACCATTTTTCATCAATAAAAGAGGATTGTTTTCTCACAGTCCAGTGTGGTGGATTTAATCTTATGGTCTCGTTTCCTGATCTGGGATCCAACACTTGAAATGCTTCTTACGAAGCCACACCTTCATTGCCCTGGCAGTGTGCTTGGGATCATTGTCATGCTGAAAGACCCAGCCGCGTTTCATCTTTAGTGCCCTTGCTGATGGAAAGAGGTTTGCACTCAAAATCTCACGATACATGGCCCCATTCATTCCTTCATGTATACGGATCGGTCGCCCTGGTCCCTTTGCAGAGAAACAGCCCCAAAGGACGATGTTGCCACTCCCATGCTTCACAGTAGGTATGGTGTTCTTTGGATGCAACTCATCATTCTTTCTTCTCCGAACACGACGAGTTGTGTTTCTGCCAAACAGTTCTACTTTGGTTTCATTTGACCATATGACATTCTCCCAATACTCTTTTGGATCATCCAAATGCTCTCTAGCAAACTTCAGTCAGCCCCGGACATGTACTAGCTTAAGCAGGCTTAAGACACTGCAGGATCTGAGTCCCTGGCGGCGTAGTGTGTTATTGTTCCGTTGGCCCAGGCTCTCTGCAGGTCACTCACTAGGTTCCCCCGTGTGGTTTTGGGATTTTTTCTCACTGTTCTTGTGATCCTTTTGACCCCACGGGCAGGGTGAGATCTTTCGTGGAGCCCCAGATCGAGGGAAATTATCAGTGGTCTTGTATATCTTCCATTTTCTAATTATTGCTCCCACAGTTGATTTCTTCACCCTAAGCTGCTTGCCTATTGCAGATTCAGTCTTCCCAGTCTGGTGCAGGGCGACAATTTTGTTTCTGGTGTCCTTCGACAGCTCTTTGGCCTTTATCATAGTGGATTTGGAGTGTGACTGCTTGAGGCTGTGGACAAGTGTCTTTTATATTGAGAACAAGTTCAAATAGGTGCCATTACTACAGGTAATGAGTGGAGGACAGAAGTGCTTCTTACAGAAGAAGTTACACGTCTGTGAGACCCAGAAATCTTGCTTGTTTGTTAGTGACCAGATACTTATTTTCCACCATAATTTGCAAATAAATTCAATAAAAATGAGACAATGTGATTTTCTGGATGTGTTGTCTCATGATGTCTCTCATAGTTGATGCCTCCCTATGAAGTCAATTACAGACCTCTCTCGTCTTTTTAAATGGGAGAAATTGTACAATTGGTATCTAAATACTTTTTTCCTCATTGTATTTTCATTCTTTTCAATCCATTCTTTTCAATCCAGGTGTATACGTGTCAATAGTTACGGAGTGGACCACAATGCACTCAAGCAATTTTTTTTCTCTCTGGTTGTTCCCCCCCCCCCCCCCAACAGACCAAGAACAGAGAGCTCCTGAAGCAAGCTGCAGCTTTGTCGAAGTGCAAAAAAACAGAGAAGCCTGGGGCAATCACCTCCCCTTAGACACAATGGGGGATTTCTCCCTTATCAAGGAGTCCTTTGATTATCAATCCCTTCGTTCAACAGGCTCAACTGGAATCTTTAAATAGTTGTTGCTATGAATGCCATGAAAAATCTCTGTGTGTGCCCATTCAATAGCATGCTTGCGTGTTGGGTTTTGAATCTTTCATTTTCCTATCATACTACAATGACGAGGGGGGTTTTGCAGTGCATCTTCCACCGCCCCCATTTCTCCAAGCCCATGAACTGGCAGAATATAGAGATTTCCTGCCATCACTTTTATTTTAGCTGCCTTTGGGTTGGCCAGGACAGAGTGATTGCGTTGCTTCAGCGTCCTCCACAGTCTTCCAGGTAGGCTTTCCTTTATGGGGAGGCTACTTTAGTACTCTATTCACATTCATATTTTTTAAAGAGAGTTTTTCAAATGCTGCTTTCTCATGTAATGCTTTCGGGTCGTTCTTTGGAGCACCTCGATGCCATCTCACAAATATTTCTCTTCATTCTATAGAATTGTTTGAGGATGAAGTTTTAAGTCATCGGAGGTCTATCTAAATTCTTAATGGCTTAATGATCTCTTAATCGAATCATTGGAGACATTACTTTGATGGTAAGGGTGGATCAGTAATTGGGATTTTTCGTATACTGGATGACTATACTGATCACTGATTGGGAATTAGCTTCTCTTTTTTAAAAAAAATATTATTATTCGTTACACAGTAAACAAGATCACTTTGCTGGCTTTTATATTTGATCACACATTGGACACTTCCCAAGTGTCTAGGACTCTGTGATGTATTGGAGAATTATGTGTGCAGCTCCAAGTAGTAGTTTGCAGGTGACAGATGGTAATTTGGTCAGCGCCGATTGTTTTTACATGCAAGCCAAGGTCTTTCGGCACTGCACCCAGTGTGCCAATCACCACTGGGATCACCTTGACTGGCTTGTGCCAGAGTCTTTGCACTTCGATCTTTAAATCCTCATATCGTGTAAACTTTTCCAGTTGTTTCTCATCAATCCTGCTGTCACCTGGGATTGCAACATCAATTATCTATACTTGTTTTTTCCCCACGATCATGAGGACAGGAGTATTATTATTATTATTACTATTATTATTTTGTGTCAGGAGTGACTTGAGAAACTGCAAGTCGCTTCTGGTGTGATAGAATTGGCCGCCTGCAAAGGACGTTGCCCAGGGGACGCCTGGATGTTTTACCATTCTGTGTGAGGCTTCTCTCATGTCCCTGCAAGGGAAGCTGGAGCTGACAGATGGGAGCTCACCCTGCTGCCCGGATTCGTCCTGCCAACCTGTTGGTCAGCACTCCTGCCAGCACAAGGGTTTAACCCATTGCGCTATCAGGGGCATCATCATCATCATTACTTCTACTACTATTATGTTGGCTTACATGCCATTGCTTTTATTTAGAGCTGGGCACTTCCCTGATCAAGCTTAGTGGATTTCTTACAAGTCAGAGGCAGGGTGAGACTACTCCCAACAAATGCAAGACACAACTATGCAGAGTTTCAAGGTATGGTTATTGTGGTGCCGCTGAATATGGTGCCCTGCAAAAGGAGCTTGAAGAGGTCTAAGAAAGGAGAATGAATGTCCTGTGAAACGATAATCATCTCACAGGAAAACAGGAGATGAGTCAGAGTATGTACTGTCAAAAGAGGATCTAAACTCGCTTATTCCATGCTAATTCATGGAAAGATGAAATGAGAATAGCTCTACCGCTGGTTGAGAGCGTCCGTCAAGGCATCTTTTAGAAAACAGCTGAAATCACAAGTAGTTTCTGACCAGTTTAGTCTCTGCAGAACCCCATCTGAAGAAATGGCTTGGGGGGAGAGAGAGACTGGCACATGGAGCAATGCAAGATTTGCCTTTTAAAAGATTTTTTAAAAAGAGACTTCTGTGGCAACTGAGTCAAAAACTGTATTAAGAATGCTTTTTTTCAATGGCACTTTGAAGAACGACAAGCCTCAGTCACAGAAGAAAATAGAACTGAAATAATTTCACAACTGTGGGTTATTTATTTTTTCCCTTTGTTTTGCTTTGAAGGAAAGATGATGTGTGAGAATCTGCCACAAAGTGTAAAGCAGAAAACTAATTTTTATACTTAATGCATTTTTTGGAAGAAACTGGTTCAAAGAAACTTTAACTGGGGATGTTTTTGAGCTTCCTTAGCCAAGAAAAGTTAAAGACAAAAGACGAGGATTTTCCTGTTAACAGGGCCTTTTTTTCTTATTTATGGAAGTGGATCATGCATTAAAGTGGGTGATTTCTAGTGATGCTGTTTTTTTCTTTATATTTGTAATATTCGTAGTTTTAAAAGGGAGCTCAGATTTGTACAAAAGTGCAAAATGGACAAAAAACTGGTTTGGGGAGGGGTGGGATCTTTGAGCGATTTCATGTTTGGATATATTTTGTCTATGTCTTGGTTTGAGTTGGCAAAAAGTCATTTTTCCCTCCTTGGCTTAGGCCTAATCCAAGCACAGGCTGCTGCCGTGAAGTATAAAGAACATTTGGTGCTATGGTGGAATTTGATGTATGTACAGGATTAAACTGTATTTTCTGTAATTATGCTTTCTTGGATGTCTCTCCTTCAATCTCCCCAGATAACTGTCGATTATTATGTACTGGCTTGGGTATCCGGCATTGCCTGGCTTATTTGAAAAGGTCTTTTTTTTAATTTTACAAAATGCATAAGGCTGTGAGTGAACTACAACTCACATCATGCCAGGTGAACCCCCTGAAACCCCATCAGTAGTTAAAGTTTGTCATGTTGGTCAAGTTTGCTCTAGATCAGGTATGGGCAAACCCAGGCCTGCGGGCTGGATGCAGCCCCTTGGGCTCTTTTCTCAGGCCTTCCATTCTCTCACCATCCTATCCTTCCTTCCTTTCCTCTTTCCTCCCTCCTTCCCCCTTTCTCTTTCTCCTTCCTTCCTTCCTTCCCTTTTGTCTTTCCTCCCTCCCTTGCCTCCCTCCCTCCATTCCCTTCCTTCCATCCATCCTTCTCTTCCTCCCTCCCTCCTTCCCTTCTCTTTTTCCTTCTTCCTTTCCTCCTGGGAGATGTTTAGCTGGGAGAACAGAAAGTAGCCCTGAATCCCTTCGGAGAGAGAAGCCGGGTTATAAATAAACCACCACCACCACCACCAACATTATAGAGGGAGAACCATGTTTCAGGATTTAATAGGATGACCCATTGAGGAGGAGAAAGAGGGAAAAAACCGTCTTTCTGCTTCTCTAGAAACCAGGACACAAGGGAGCAATGGGTTCAAATGGCAGGGAAACAGATTCGACTGAATAGATGAGGAAGAACTTTCCAGAGGTTGGCGTAGGCTGCCTGGGAGTGTGGTGGAGTCTCCTTCTATGGAGGTTTTTCCGCAGAGGCTATCTATCAGGAGTGCTTTGATTGTGCCTTCCTGCATGGCAGGGGATTGGACTGGATGACCCTCGGGGGTCTCTTCCAGCTCTAGGATTCTATATCAGGAGTAGGCAATGTTGTTGTTTATTCGTTCAGTCGTCTCAGACTCTTTGTGACCTCATGGACCAGCCCACGCCAGAGCTCCCTGTCGGCCGTCACCACCCCCAGCTCCTTCAAGGTCAGTCCAGTCACTTCAAGGATGCCATCCATCCATCTTGCCCTTGGTCGGCCCCTCTTCCTTTTTCCTTCCACTTTCCCCAGCATCATTGTCTTCTCTAAGCTTTCCTGTCTTCTCATGATGTGGCCAAAGTACTTCAACTTTGTCTCTAGTATCCTTCCCTCCAATGAGCAGTCGGGCTTTATTTCCTGGAGGATGGACTGGTTGGATCTTCTCGCAATCCAAGGCACTCTCAGAACTTTCCTCCAACACCACAGTTCAAAAGCATCTATCTTCCTTCGCTCAGTCTTCCCTAAGGTCCAGCTCTCACATCCGTAGGTTACTATGGGGAATACCATTGCTTTTACTATGCGCATCTTTGTTGCCAGTGTGATGTCTCTACTCTTCACTATTTTATCGAGATTGGACATTGCTCTCCTCCCAAGAAGTAAATGTCTTCTGATTTCCTGGCTGCAATCTGCATCTGCAGTAATCTTTGCACCTAGAAATACAAGCGTCCACATTTTCTCCCTCTATTTTCCAGTTGTCAATCATTCTTGTTGCCATAATCTTGTTTTTTTTTTTTATGTTTAGTTGCAACCCAGCTTTTGCGCTTTCTTCTTTCACCTTGAGTAGAAGGCTCCTCAGCTCCTCCTCGCTTTCGGCCATCAGAGTGGTATCATCTGCATATCTGAGGTTGTTAATGTTTCTTCCAGCAATTTTCACCCCAGCCTTGCATTCATCAAGCCCCGCATACAAGTTAAAAAGGTTGGGTGAGAGTATGCAGCCTTGCCGTACGCCTTTCCCAATCTTGAACCAGTCTGTTGTTCCGTGGTCAGTTCTGACTGTTGCTACTTGGTCCTTGTACAGATTCCTCAGGAGAGAGACAAGGTGGCTTGGGATGCCCATCCCACCAAGAACTTGCCACAATTTATTATGATCCACACAGTCAAAGGCTTTAGAATAGTCAATGAAGCAGAAATAGATGTTTTTCTGAAACTCCCTGCCTTTCTTCATTATCCAGCGGATATTGGCAATCTGGTCTCTTGTTCCTCTGCCTTTTCTAAACCCAGCTTCTGGCAACTCTTGCTCCATGTATTGCTGGAGTCTTCCTTGCAGGATCTTGAGCATTACCTTACTGGCATGAGAAATAAGGGCCACTGTACGGAAGTTTGAGCAGTCTTTCGCATTTCTCTTTTTTGGTATGGGGATATAAGTTGATTTTTTTCCAGTCTGGTGGCCATTCTTGTGTTTTCCATATTTGCTGGCATATGGCAATACAGGAATCTAATAGATACACTTGTTCTCTCCCGCCCACCATCTCATCGTGACCAAAGCTAACCCTTTTGGGATCCAAACATTTCCCGTCATTCCTTCACTTTCTGCCTCTGAAAGAGAAGAGGAAGGAAAGGGCAGGGAGGGAGCTTGGGGAGAACCCCTCCCTCCCAGCCCATCCACCTCACTCCGACTCACCACGTGGCCCCCAAGTTAGAAAGTTGTCCTTGTCTGCTCTAGATGCATCATTGTTGGGGTTCAGTGTGAACTCTGTCTGCAGGATGAACTACATCTCCCACCATGGTGGGTCAGTCCCCTCAAATTCCTCCAGTAGGTTCGGTTGGTCATGGGGGTGGTTCTGTGTGCCAAGTTTGGTCCAGATCCATCATTGGTGGTGGTCACAGTGTCTCTGGATGCAATTGAACTCCAACTCCCAGAAATGAAGGCCAGTTACCTCCAAACCCCTGAAGTATGTTCACTTGGTCATGGTGGTTCTGTGTGCCAAGTTTGATTCAGGTCCATTGTCGGTGGGGTTCACAGTTTCTCTGGTTGTAGGTGAACTAAAACTCCAAAAATCAAGGTAAGTCCCTCCCAAACCCTTCCAGTATTCAAATTTGGGCGTATCAGACATGTATGCATCATCGTTTGGGATCACAAAGCTCTCTGGAAGTAGGTGAACTACAATTCCCACAAATCCTGGTGAATCCCCCCCCCCCACACACACACACAAAGCCCTCCCTTATTTTTTGTTGGTCATGGGTGCTCTGTGTGCCAAGTTTGGTCCAGGTTCATCATTGGTGGGGGTCAAAGTGCTCTTTGAATGCAGGTGAACTTTAAATCCCAATATGTACAACATCCAAATGTCAAGGGCAATTTCCCCCCAAACCCACCAGTATTCATATTTGGGCATATCAGGTAAGCATGTCAAGTTTGACCCAACCCATCTTTCTTTGGATTCACAGTGCTCTCTGGACTGAGGTGAACCACAACTCCTACAAATCAAGGTCAATTCCACCCAAACTTCTCCAGTCTTTTTCATTAGTCATTGGGGTTCTGTGTGCCAAATGTGGTCCAAGTCCATTGTCAGAGGGGGTCACAGCGTTCTGTCTCAATGCAGAATACACTCGTACAAGTTCCATCATGTGGAGTCAATCCCCCAAACTCCTCCAGTATGTTTAGTTGCTATCGGTTCTGCTCTCGTGCAGACAGAGTTGAAAAGAGTAAGAAAGGGTTAAGGTAGAGGCAGTAGGTGGGATCATGCAAATTCCATACCAATTGAGAGACTTAGAAACACAGTGGTGGAGAAAACACGTAACATCTAGGATGAAATGGTCCCCGAATTAAAGCATTCCTTGGGTGTTGGGCAGTGTGTTGTTTGGGGAGGACATAGGCAGGGGTTGGGCTGCATGTTCGTGGCACTCGCTGTAACCTGAAATGTCATTAGTGGGAGAGCTTTTGGTGGATCTTCAGCACTGTGGGTTAAAGCTGTTTGTGGAAGTAGGAGTCTGTCTGTGGAAGTGGGCACCTCAGCCACATACACATATACATATTTTCATTTTTATTATGTGTATAGATAGATATATGTGTGTTCAAATGGAATTTCTTGCAGGTTTTTGTTCTATTGCTTAAAACCATTCTAGTCTAGTCTTCAGATGAAAAGAAGCTTACGAGTATCAGAAGCGATAGTCCTTTCATACCTCTTTCTTTTGGGATGTAAGAATGCTTCACAAACTGAACTTTCATGTAATGTATTGGTTAGAGAGTTGGACTGAGATTTAGAAGATGCAGATTCAAAGCCCAGCAGAGATGCAATTCACTAAAGTGTCCTCAGGCCAATCACATTCAGCTTGATCTATCACAGAGAGTTGTTGAGAAGATGAACATGTACAAAAATCTATTTGGGATATAATCGTGTTGAAGGAGAAAAAAAAATTATAAGGATAATAATTTGTCACCAAGGAGGCTGTCCTGACCCCCAGGTTGAGAAACACTGCTATATTTTAACTGGAAAAGTTAGGGGTCGTCTTATACGCCCAGTCGTCTTATATGCCGGAATATACGGTACTCTGCTTATAATTTTTCCAGATGTGCCTTTCCTCCTACTAACCCACTTAGAATATTTTCCTGAGTTCAGGCAATTCACACAACTGTGTGTAAGATCAGTCATGTCATTATCAATCATATCATAGATATAGGAATAGATACTAGATGGTGGTGCCTTTTTCCTTACGTTACATAGAATAGTCGATTCACCATCAGTGTTCAGAGTGTATCATCTCAGCCATGTTAAGTCGGCTAGTAAGATTACTATACACATTACAACAAATTGAAATGTCAGTGTTGACAATCCTAGTCAAGCCTTTTTCAACAGCTGAAATTACTGAGATAAGCTAATGCGTATTGAGAGTTGCATACATCTTTATTTTGACGCTTAAGCGGTTGGTTGGTTCATCCAGGCTTCTCAAGGATGTTGTGTGTGAATGGCAGTGTTTATTATATTGGTGTAGACCAGGCATGGGCAAACTTGGACCCTCCAGGTGTTTTGGACTTTAACTCCTACAATTCCTAACAACCTGCCGGCTGTTAGGAATTGTGGAAGTTTAAGTCCAAAACACCTGGAGGGGCCGCCAAGTTTGCCCATGCCTGGTGTAGCATGTTTATTGTGTTGTAGTACATATATTAGCCCTCAAGGGGTCATGAATCAGTCTTGTCTCTCTGCGT